TTTACTGATGATATCATGAGAACATGTGAATAATATGATGAAATACCCAAGGAATGACGTCACCTGCCAATGAGATGCATGTAATATTAAGGTTGCTTTAAAACCCTGCTTGACTTTAAGCCATATTTTCGCAAAGCCAAAAGATCTTGTTAAAGCAAATCAGAAAACTCATGCTGAATATTCTATACCATGCGGTGACTGCGAAAAAGAGTATTTGGGTCAGTCTGGACACCAGTTTGGTACATGGCTAAAAGAACATCAAAAGCCTGTTTCAACTTTAAATAAGGGAAAATCAGCTTTAGCAGAACATGTGTGTGAAACCAAACACAAGATTGGGTGGGAAAACTCAAAAAGAAATTACCACAAACAATCGTTATCATGGTCAAAGACTACGCCCAGGGACGCCGGAACGATAATAGGGCAAAGGGGGGCGGACGCACACCAAGGGCACCTTTACTGAATTTTTTTTTTCACTGGCGACCTCCCCCCCCCCCTCGCCAAAAAAATTTCGGTCAAAAATTTTTTCCGGACATACAAAAATTTTCCGTGAAGACAAAAATTTTTCCGGATATCTTAAATTTTCGCCATTTCTTCAAACTATTTTTCTAAATTCCAAAAATTTCCCAAAATTTTTATAAATATAAACTATAAATTACCTGAATCTCGTGATTTTCCTACAAAAAGCATCGTTGGAAATGTGATTTATCACGTATTATTTTACAACTAAAAGGGCACTTCTGCCCCCCCTGCCCCCCCTAGCAAAAGGCAAGGGGGGCAGCCGCCCCCCTGCCCCCCCCCAGTTCCGGCGTCCCTGACTGCGCCTAGAACCATGGCATATAAATACTAGAAGTTACCATCGCAAGAAAAGTGCTGCCTCACCCCCAAAAAATCAAAGGCAGCATGCGTAATTTGCTAAATAAGGGGCTGTTTATATGACCCCGCTTTGGCAGGTCGAGATATGAGGCGGGATGATTTCAATGTATTGAAATAAGTCACGGTCCACATGCAATTGAGCAAAAAACATTTTCTAGAGATAGATTATAGTTAACTGTAAACGAAAGGTTTTTCAAGCAGCAATAATATTCTTCTTGAACTACAAGATCTTCTCTACAATATTTGAGTTCAGTTAACAAGCATTTGAACTTTTGTTTAGCCTAATATATGACTTATTCAAATACATAAAAAATTATTCCGCTTTCCATGAGCTCCATCATGTAAACAGCCCTAAAACACCTGTTTAGGAGGTAGGAAATGTGCAATTTGAATATCAAAAATTCTACTTTCTTGGCATTGGTTATTTTATTTGATATCTTCAATGAGCACTTACAAGTTCTTGCTTTTGTATGTATAATTATAACACTGTGAGTGGTGAAGCTATGCAATAGCAGACTGTAGGCCGTTTGCCGTGACCTAAAAATATGCCTAGAATTGAAAACGATTTTCATTAAGCATGTCGTGGAACTGAAATATTTTCACGGTAACTAACATTTTCGAACACGCTGAATTCAAATCCGAAAAGTTGCCGCTCCGTAGACTCGCAGTTTTTTCACAAATTGCATTTGTATTTTCAGTTCTTCGACGAACAAAAATAAACACGCGCCATTTTGAAATTAAATAACATCATTCAGAGTATGCCGTTTTTGCTCCCCAGTCTCCGATGCTCATGACCGAGTGACCGAGTTTAAGATTTAGAGCAATGTTATTAAATTTGCTGCAAAACAAACACATTCACGTGGTTTTAAAAATGGCTAGTCTGAGTGATTTTCAATTTATTTGCCAGTAAAATCGCTAAAGAATGAGAAATAAAAGTTTAAATCATTTATTTTTGGAAGAGAAAAGCAATAAGGTAGATGTTCTCTGTGTATATTTTTTGAGTTTGTTTAAGGCTAAATGGCCTATACAAGAACAAACAAGTGATTATTAAAGTGCAACCATCACAATTTATTCAGGTTAGCTCTCAGATACATATAAAGAACGGATTAAGGCCAGTCTGCTTGAAAACTCACAGTAAAATTGCTCCATATTAAATTTGCTGTTTATGGGAATTATTGTTGGTCATAAGGTGTAAAGGAATTTATAGGAACTGTTATTCAAATACTGATTTATCACCCCATGAAATGTCAAGAAAGCCAACAAAATCATGAACATTTGCATAGTATAAATGATTATTATATTTGCATAACGTGCTGCTGACTTATTTATTCCATGCTTTACTGCATCTTCAAGATTTAGACTGCTAGAATATATACACACAAGAATATGTAATAGGATATACAAATAAGATTCTGCATGAATAGATTGGGTCTAAACTTGGAATTCAATTACAAGGAAAGATGTTTGGCTGACAGATCAGCCTGGTTTTGAGATCTACAGTAGCCACTCATATAAGCAGCCCCTAAATTAGAATGTCTACCTACAATCCTGGATAAAATTATTATTGTGGACAGTGCATGTGCACAAAAATGCAAATACCCTTGCCCAAACATACATGCAAAAACAGCATTTTTTAACCATTGAAAAGCTTCTAGATCGGTTAGGTGAAAGCTCTGTGACTGAATGATGGAGATGATGATGCCAGCATGTGTATGTGAACAGTAATACTTTAATCGTTCATACTTATAAGTGTCCACAGAATTTTTGCCATGATTGTAGCTATAGGTGGAAGCAAAGCTGTGAGTTCAAAATATATTCAACACCATTAATGTTTTGTTGCCCAATTTGACAAAGTAATACTTTATGTGTTATTATGCTGGTTTTTTTCAAGCTTGACAGTAAACAAGTTGTTTGTTTTGTTTTATAACCTGTTAGAAATAAGGAAAAATACACGAGTCCCAGGCAGCTGTGCTTGGATCTTAACCCTTTAAAGTAGTTGCATTGCTCCCCAATGCACCCTACTTTATCAGTTTACTCTGTCTAATGCCAGACAATTTTACTCGTCAAGTAGAAAAGTGCTAGTAGTGCTTATGCAATAGGTTAAACACCCAGGTCACTAACCTGGTGCTCTACTATGCAGTTGAGCTAAATGTGATCAATGTACTCTGCCCTGCATGGGGAAAGCCACTTACAGATAAAAATATTTAATACAAGTTTAGACCTAATCTATTCATGCAGAATCTTATTTGTATATCCTATTACATATTCTTGTGTGTATATATCCTAGCACAGTCTAAATCTTGAAGATGGAATAAAGCATGGAATAAATAAGTCAGCAGCAGGTTATGCAGATCGATATAATAATAATTTATACTATGCAAATGTTCATGGTTTTGTTGGCCATCTTGACATTTCATGGGGTGATAAATCAATGTAATAATTCCCATAAACAGCAAACTTGATATCGGAAACAATTTTACTGTGAGTTCTCAAGCAAATGGCCTTAATTAATCCTTTCCTTATATGTGTCCGAGAGCTAACCTGAATAAATCGTGATGGTTGTTCACTTAATCACTTGTTTGTTCTTGCATAGTTTATTTAGCCTTAAACAAACTAAAAAAAATACACAGAGAACATCTACCTTATTGCTTTTCTCTGCCAAATAAATAATTTAAACTTTTATTTCTCATTCTTTAGCGATTTTACTGGCAAATAAACTGAAAATCACTGAAACTAGTCATTTATAAAACCACGTGACTGTGTTTGTTTTGCAGCAAATTTAATAACATTGCTCTAAATCTTAAACTCGGTCACTCGGTCATAAGCATTGGAGACTGGGGAGCAAAAACGGCATACTCTGAGTGATGTTTTTTAATTTCAAAATGGCGCGTTTTAATTTCAAAATTATTATACATAGCAATGTAATTTATGCAATTTTTGGCATAATCACAAAGGAAAATTTCAACCAATCGTATTCCGCCCCACGTTGTGCGGGGGCAACTGTACGGCATTAGCGTTGATTGATCGCAGACTGATGATCCACAGGGGGGTCGGCTGAGATCAGTCTGCTATATTGCAGACAATGGTGAAGCTAGCCATAGCAACAGGTCATGCTATGCCAGTTTTTAATGATTTGCATTATTCAAATAGATACAGGCTTATTGGCGTGGCATGACCAGTCGCCATATGGTAGTTAGCTTGCCACTGAATACTGTACAAAATCATATTATATATAAACGATAATAATTCTTGAATGAATCATTGGACATTTAGAATTTAATAACAATTTTATCCCCGAGCCGACGGCGCGAAGCGCCGTGCGAGGGTACTAATTCCCCCCGGCTATTTACACCCGGGGAAACGAAAGCATTAGCGAAGTCTAAAGTTCATCAAATATCGCGGGCGTGGGTCACTGTGCGTGGGTGGTCATCCTCACTGATCTCAAAAATATGGTGGACTGTCGTGAATAGCGGACACTGATTGGTCCAATTTAAAGTTTGCATTATAACGACTGCATGGCGACAGCGAAACAGCAAACATTTCTTGATTTGACGATTGATAAATTTCTTGCAAATATATCTTATTTTTGCTCGCATTTTTGCAAGATTTTGTAAATTTCAAGAAAGAAAAGTCGAAAGAATGGGCTAAAAGAAGGGAGCCGACGTTAACAAAGGTAAGTTTATTTTAAATATTTATTTTATAATTGTTTTAAAACCCGACGGCCTTTGAGTATATGATAAAGTACATTTCTTGCAAGTTGTATTTTAGCAAGATTTTGTAAATTTCAAAACCTTTCTGAGAGCCAAAAACGTCTAAAAACGTCTAAAAGAATAGAGCAAAGTCGCCGACGTTAACGAAGGTAAGTCTGTTTTAAATATTGATGTATTGTTTGTCTTATAATTGATATATTTATAACTGATAGTGGTGGGCGATACGGCGAATATCGAACTAAACCTATCATTGCGTATAATTTCAGTGTGGTTTTATTAATTACCTTTCTTTTGTATATTAAAGTATTTAAATAAAGAGGAAAGCAAAATTATTTTCATGCGAGAATTTGAAATCAGCTTATTTCAAACTCAATATTTACCGATAATTCGATAAAAGGCCGTTTAGTTTTGAGAACATTTTAAAACATTTTGCGAAGCGTTTGTGGTTCAATTGATGCTTATATTACGTATAATAACATACCTGGCATACATATGTTTGGGAAATTGATACTTTTGTTATTAAAAGTGATATTTAGGAGGGATTTTTCAATTTAAAACCAGGTTTAAAACTATTCTTAAAATTATCGTGTTACCATGACAACTACTTTCAATTCTTCATAATATTCAGAAAACATAATGTTTTGTCACTAAGGCGAGGGTTTCTGCATGCATGTATTTTCTAGTATGTAGAATATTAAGATTTAAGATTTTTGTCCCAATTATCGTTTTAATGCCATAATGGCACCTTCAAGGCTACCACCCCTATTGCAAAACAAATGAACAATCTGCTGATTCCTGATCGGGAGACAAAATCGATTTGTTGACAGGTTCTGTTTCATATATCAGCTTGTGATGACACCATTTACTTGTAATTGTACTCAGTCAGAACTGCAAAACTATAGTAATACAAGAATTTTATAAAAAAATATAGTATACTAATACCTTGAGTACTGTAGTGACAGGATTATTTCATATTACGCTATAAACAATGTATATATCTCAGAGATATATTTTTACAGGCCGTCATACCTTTTACAAAAGTCGGTTGACATTTCATGTAACTGCTGGTAATTAGTTACAGTAATATGTGCAGACTACAATCCACACTGGGTGGATATAGGATTATCTTTGTATACAAGTAAGATAATTTTTCATTGGCGTACACAATTGTGTTCCAATAGTGGATTTATTCGTTTCAATCTATAGTTTCAATGGGTAAAATAATTCGAACAAAACGCATTGTTAATTGTGACCAAACTTTCATCTTACCTTGAAGGTTGAAGAATATTTTCGATAAACAGCCAGACGTAAAAATATATTTCGATAAAATTTGCAAGCAAGCTGGGATCAAAATTCACAAATCACAACAAGCATGAGGCAACGTGTTATTTACAAATTGTAATAGTCCATGGGGCAGTTCGCGAGTCTCAAGCAGGGTATTCGGAAAGTCAAATCACGATATAGAGGATGTTATCTTCCAAAATTTCTGTGACATCAAAAAACGTCATAAATCTGATTATCCGTGCGTACATCCGTCCGTACATGCAAAATCCAGTTGTCGTTCGGCTATACAAAACTCGGCCAAAGAGACTGGACACACGTAAACGCAATACTTCATGTTAAATATAGTGTGCTGCCTTCGGCAGCAATGAGTAATTATGCTGTGAATAGGGATAACAGTGCCTATTTGCCAGAGGAATACATGCATCTTATTGGCATGTGAATACCCTTGGGTATTTAAGAAGCCACAATTGACCATTTGCGTAATAGACTAAATTTTGATCTCAGCAAAAATTTTATTACAGCTTGAAAGAGCATCACAAAATTAGTAATATTCCAGAGTTTCGTTGCAAAATGTTGTAAAATGCGGAAAATATAGCCTTGCGAAGTTTGCAATTTTCAGTCATTTTAGATTACAAACGGGAAATTGACAGCCTCGAAGGGTTTGAGGCTATCAATTTCCCGTTTGTAACCTAAAATGACTGAAAATTGCAAATTTCGCAAGGCTATGTTTTCCGCATTTTACAACATTTTGCAACGAAACTTTGGAATATTACTAATTTTGTGATGCTCCTTTAAGCTTTAATGAAATTTTTGTCTAGACTTGTTGAGTTCAAAATTTAGTCTATTACGCAAATGGTCAATTGCAACTTTAGATCACCCCTAAAGAAGACACTAGACTGGAGTGTTGAAACGTTGGGTCTTGATTACAATTTGACTGGGCTTTTCAATCATAAATTTAAACCAGAGTAGCGAGCGAAAAATAATTGATATACCTGGTTGCAGTGAAAAAACAAACTTCAAATAACTCAGAGAGCAATTGCAAGTCTGCCAGCATGAACTGAACCTGCAGCCCTGCAATTCTACTGCTGCTCTCTGACCTAAAATGTCTGTTTGCCAAAAGGTCACCACAAGTTGCTGTACATATTAAACCATGGTGGTGTCAGTGGTAGTATATTAAATAAACTGGGATGATACTAGTATTATATACATGAACTCTTGGTGACCTTCATAGACTCTTGGGGCTTGATAGACTCTTTACAATTAAGGAGCTGATCTGAATCACAGGGGTTCCATTCCCGGCAGAATAGTTATTACATAGTTATTGTTCAATATTTCCATCTACAGAAAGACTTTAACCCATTGACTGTGGCAGTATACATTGCATTGGACTATAAATAATAAAATAATAAAGTAGAGCACATTGCCACTTAAAGGGTTAAACATTCTGTTCAATCTTGAATATTTACAAGTAAAATACACTGCATGTAGTGCCAGTGGCAAAGATTGGCAAACCATTTGGCAGACGTCCATGAACCTTCTTCCGAAGAAAGACAACCTTATCTTATTTGTGCTAAGCCAACAGCTTTAGACTTAGAAAATGTTTTAGCAGAGTTGTACAGATTAATTCGGAACAGTAAAAAGCAGTCAAAGTGGAATAAAAGCGGAATACAGAATATACCCAACCGTCAACCAAAATCCTCCAGGAAGAGAACAAAATCGAATACAAAACCGGCAAAGAACGTGGACAATACAGAAATGAATGATGGTTCAAAGGAGCGGTTAAACAAAAATGGGATAAAACTCCTAAGTGGATAATATAAAATTATTTATACAGACAAGAATTATTAACTTTGTAGTACTTAAAGAAATAAATGTGCTTTAAAAATGAAATCATGTGCTTTTGCCTATTTTATGCCGCGCTTTGTGCCCACGCTTATAATAGTCCGGGATTATAATACAATACCCCTATTATGATGTATATTGTGCGCATCTTATAGCCAATGATCGTTTAACGACCGTAGGTGTATGCAAATAGCGAACATAACAACGCATAGTAACGCGTGCATGTGCTTACTTCGCTTGGTATATTTATTCATATTGCTCGTTGTGACGAATAGATTCCTCGCTACCATTTTGTAAACATACGAAAGTTAAATAGGCAATAATCACGACCAAAGTTTGTAACATTGGTCTCTCTGCAGACTTGCTCAAGGTTCAAAGTTTGCCTAGCTATCAATACCAATTTCATTTCGTTCAACTCATCAAAAATTATATCTATGTTATCCATTGACTGTGTTTGGATCAAATGTTTGGAAAGTTTTGTAGCTAGGCTATGCCAACATTAATCCCTCTATTGTATCACACACGTGGGAGGGACGCTAAAAAATGCCCAGTCAGCAAGTTTTGCCCGATCTTGCCCAAGCTTGCCATCGTCACATCATTGCATATGTTAAGTGAATACACTCCACCACCACACTCCATCTCATTCTATGCTAATGATGATACGCCACCTCATTCTATGCTAATGATGATGGGCCGCCCTGAATTTTTAATTAATGCTGCGCCGCCCTGAATTTTTAATGATGTGCCACCCTGAATTTTTAATGATACGCCGCCCAGCGCCACCCTACGCCACCCTACAAAAGGGGGTCGAGCGGCCTCTATATTACTACTCAGGCACTTCGTCCCCAACCACCATCTCTTTCATGGATTTGACGTCGATAATCTTTTCTGGGTTACGTGGGAAAACAATTGATGCAATTCGTGCATCTTGTCCTAGGGAGTGTACCAGAGAAACTGCATCCATCCCTTTCTTGCGTCCATCCAACTCAAATCGTCTTTTGTCAATAACAAAATGCTCTACCTGTGAATCTGCAGCAATTCGGTTTTGCCCACTTTGGATTTGAGGTGGTAGATTAGCCTCAAATAAATATTCTTGAAGACCTTTAATTTCAGTCTTTGGGGACCAGTCATCTGACATCAGCCGATTAAAAGATATAAACAGTTTGTATCACCAACAGTATTGGTTTTATTTTACCCATACACACTCAACTGACCTGTGTTATGATTCCTCTAAGTTCAATATCTGCAACATCCTTTAAAGAATAAGTTGGAGGATTCTCTTTCATATTATCAACTGTCCAGTAATGAATCACTGCTGCAGAAAGACCATATGTTGGACCATATGTAAGGACCACCATGTAGAATTGTATGTCCTATCATTTTTCCAAATGTTTCATAGGGTGCTTTCCATTTAATGGTTCCATTCCACGTAATTGTATCAATGGGAAGATCTGGTCTATGTTTCTCAAATATCTATCGAAAATGGACCTCATTCTTCAAATGTTATCTAAATTTTCCGGTCAGATAGGTCCGAAGCCCAAATGTTCATTCAACAATTGTTCATTCATTCAACAATTTGACCGTTTTGACCGGTCTGGCCTTGTTAATGGAAAGCGCCCATAGATTCCAGGTTTTCTTAACATGGTGTTTGAAATTGGCACCTTGTGATCATCGTCTCCTTCAAGTACCATAATCTTTTCATTGAGTGAGGACCTTTCTCTATTAGTTTTATAGAGAATGTAAAAAATTCTGACACAGGCCCAACCTCGTACCCAGGGCTAGCCGCGAATTGAAGGCGGCGGCGTAGCCCTGGTAAACGCTGGTCACGTGACTCGAACATTACGTAATTGTTACTTTTCTGATCCGGGGGGTGAATTATAGAGGTGAAACTCGACGACCAACAGTTTTTAGCTTTTTAGTACGAAATTCTTCAATCTTCCCTGTGAATTTTGCATTTCAAGCTTTTCTCAAAGTACGGCGATCGATCAAATGGATCAATACTTTCTGTGGAAAAAACTCAGTGAGATTTGTTCGTATGCGACGTTTAAAAGACTTGGATATGTCGCTGAAGACGCTCGATCATTGCACAGGTTTATGGTTTAGTACTTTGTTCAGTTTGTTGCGACTTGCGAAGCAAATGAATGCAAATTCAACTCTTGTATAATGACTAAAAGTTGGTTAGTAGAGGGACAACTGATACAAAAGATATGAATACTTCAGCTTCAAACTAGGAACAAGTTCTGAAGTTCATGGACATCCCTAATATATGGACATTGATATTTCACCAATATGTAAATATGACTATTAAATATATAAAAGGATTGCTGTTGTATATGTACAAGTGTTGTGCTGTGGTATTTACGTTTTAACCCTTTAAGTCAATGCACCCAGATGTGCCCTACTTTGTTAGTTTACTCTGTCTAACGCCAGACAATTTTACTCGTCAGGGGGAAAGTGCATGCTGCCACTCAATGGGTTAACATAGTCGATGAACATGCCAAATGGTCCTTGACCGTGGTAGTGCATTTTTGCACTTGCTGGATGATATCGCAACCAAGCATTGTTTCAGAGGAAGAGCCCTGAGATCATGCTGTGTAGCAATTGTAATCTCACGTCACGAAGGTCTTGCATAAAGCTGGCAAGACCTTCACTCAGAAGCCAGGATTAATATTAATTCCCCACATAAACACTTGGAAACCGGACTGTCCCATCTGCCATATGCAGGACAAAAAAACATGCAGCCTGGATTTTAACTGTTAAACAACCAAATCAGCATTGAAAACAGTGTGATGATTTTTGCTTAGCCCAAACCAAAGCCAGTTTTCTAGAATTAATTTGCAGAATCCTAAGAACTGGACCTCCAACTTGAAGAGCTAGCTGTGCTAACCAAGTCAACAATAACTGTGTATGGGCAACCCTGAATTGAAGTGACTAGAGCAAATCTTCAAAGAATAATAGAGAGATCAGATTTGACTTCCACTACTGCTATTGCTATCATTAACTAACCAGACAAGTTTCATCTACCCAATCAAACACTGGATGCAACTGCCAGATCAAGTAGTGGTAGTGGAAGTCAAATTTGAATCTTTCTGTATGGATTTCAGAGAGACCAGTCATTATTTGCTGATACATTATTATAACTTGTATAATCAAAAGCTACTATATTCATTTATGATATTAAAAATTGATATAATTATCTATAAAGTGAGATAATTTAAATATTCATAACATGAAAATGATTCATGCAGGTGATTGAATAAACCATGTAGTGTACATTCTGAATCTCTACAAATTCCTTAACATTATTTTTCCAGTACAGTGTAAAACTATATAAATGTGACACAGGTTGCAGGTATTAAGTTGCATGTTCACCAGTGTGCTGAAATACCATCCAGTGATCTGGTCTTGTTCATTGTTACTTGCATATATCTTGCTTAATTTAACTGTTTCTGCCCCATATCTTGTACCCATAAATTTCTTTTCAATAATCTAGAAAACTTCAAAATCATTCAATAAATTAATTTATTAAAAAATTTGGTGAAAGGTAAGGGGTCGATAGATGAAGAAATCATTTCTTCTTGTTCATGCATATGGCCCCCATCTCTGTCAGGTGTTAGAGTAGAAATTTATTGAAGCCTTCAGAAAATAATTATAGCAACAAGGTTACAAGCCACACTGCAGAGTTAGGCAATTTTTTAAAAGATCTCAAGGTACAAAAGGTTAATACCTTTGTATAGGGGGCAAGGAAACAAAATAATGAAATTCTGAGATTCGCGGGCAGGTTTTTACGATGGGGTGCTAAACCTTCTCCCTAAAAAATCCCTGACCAGCTGCAGTTGTCATGGATATCAAAAATACTCATCAACTCACTGACATTAAATAATGCTGAATAAATGCTGAAACTGATGTTTGACTATTAAAATACCCTAGCAGTTCAAGACCTTGAGGTTCATCAGATTTTTGTCAACCTGGCCACTCTGTTATTAATAATGGCTTATTTAAATAATTTCAGGTCATTAAATGTAAAAAAACAAAGTAAATATTTGAAGTTAATACTGCTGTGATAAATCAATCAATTGTAAATAATAATCATGTGAGAAGTAGACTTTACTGAGAGTCTGAGTATAGTATTATAGGCCATTGTCTGGCCATGTGTTTCTCAATATTTAAACTACAAATTCAGCTAACTTTAACATACTGTATAAAATATAACAGCCTTCGATATATATATTTCATAGAGCTGGTCAATAACAAATAATTAAAGGCAACCGCATTGCCAACATTGCGATATTCGCCAGAGTGCACGTGCACGTGTTAACTCATGGGAATCTGCTAAATAATTTGTAACAATAAAATACTTTTAGACATTTTCAAATTCATACTGTACCTTTTTACTTGATGGAAATCATCACAAATAGTACGTACGAGGTTGCAATTGTCTCCATAATTGTCCTTCGAAAGCCGAAACATCGCATCATCGCCTCCTCGGCGATTTATATGATGCGATATAAAAGAAGATTGACGTACATTCGACGTAATATATAAACGTAACACATTAAAAAGAAAGATTACAACAAAAAATAAAAGAATATAAATATAATCCACGGCAATTCAAGTTCTATTCGTGAACTTTTCGTCGCCCCCCTGTCTTTATTTCCATAAAGCCCGCTCGCAGGCTAATACTCCAAGAATCTTGGAGTATTTGCCTGACACGTGACCAGCGTTTACCAGGGCCATGTCGCTTGCATTCAACTCACGACTGGCCCTGGCCCAACAGCTGGTTCTCCCTCTAATCTGACTCTTAGTGTTCTTTTCAGAGAGATGTCCTTGCTTTTGTACAAGGCAAGGATATCACTATCCAGCTCTCCTTCCATTCTGGTGGCCCTGATTCCTTGTTCTGTTGACGGAATTTAGCCAAGGATTCTCTAACTGTACTACATGAAAAAAGAATGTTTAATTAATAATCATTGTATATGTAATCAAGGTAAATCCCACCGCTACCGGTCTACTATCTACAGTACGGTAACTTATATTTGTTCCATGTCTTACCTCCGATTATCAATGTACAGTTCAGTAACTCATCTTCCTGGTTGGTCAGATGATTTTATTTGTCAAATAACGAGTACTGTCAATTAATGGGCAAAAAGAGTTTTAATTGTAATAAATGCAAAGGGAATCTATTTGACCTGGCAATGTTGGATGTGAGTCCGATTGTTTGTCAAATAACAGCGAAGGGGCAGCTATTTCATCACCATAACATGCTGTTAAAGCAGAGATAACTTCGTCGCATGGCCATTCACATGAGGGAAAACAGCACGCAAAATTCTGTTGCTTCCTTTGATGGAGTAAATACACATGGGTTCTTTACTACAGATGTTGAAGGTGACGAGGCAGTTGACAAATCATCATCTTTATACTGCTGTAATATTATATTTTTATCTCTTACTATAGATATTACACAAACATAAAATCAACCGAGCTACCTTAAGTAAACAATATGAATACACAACTATTTCCATTGCGTTCAAAATGATTTACACAATTTTCATGGAATACATATTGTTTATGTGTGTAGGTTCAATTGTGGCCAAATTGCTCATCAAAGATGTTAATGTTTATTTCCGGCACAATTATAGGACAAAAAAAACATCCAAATAATGATGTCTTTAATACGGTCTCCTCAGGCACGTAGCTTAAGGATGTAAAATTGGGGGGGGGGGGCAGCACTATTTACTAGGGGGCAGTTGTTGATGTAAACTGAAAATGTTAACTCTAACACAAAATGTAACTCGACACTAAAGTTCATTTTTCCATTTATCTTTCTTGTTGAATTTAATTTTGTATTTTTGTTTCATGATTATTTTAATCAATTAACTTATGATAATATGTTTTTGGCGTATTTAAACAATATTTGAAACCACTTCAGAACTTTTCTTTGGGGCGACCGCACTCCCATAGCTACGCGCCTTGCCTGCTTATACGTAGTTAGCAAGCATAATATGTTGGCTAAGCTATTTACTTTGCATTTGGTAGTGTATGTGACATTATATACATTGAATGAGTAAACACGGACCCAACTTTTCCAAACCCGTTTGAAGGGCATTGCCATTGGGCGTCTTTTCCCTTGATTTCCCAAGCAAGAAATAGTCTATGCTAGCAAGTCTTTAATTTCAAAAGGAGCTACGCTTAGATCTAATACTAGAAATGCATGTATGCAGTAAACCCTCGCCAATATTTTCCAAACATTAAATTAACATGAAGTATTCAGAAATGGCCCACTGAACGCAGGTTCGTGCTCAAGTGTTGTCATGACAACACGATATTCTTAAATTTTTAATTTTTTTATATTTTATGTACA